TCACAAAAGTGGAATTATCACCAGTGATGTTGGAGACTTAACTTTAAGCAAGAGGGGAATACGGACATCATTTACATTTAGGAAAGTGAGGCAAACACCTTGTAACTGTAGTAAGTATATGATTTTTGTCTACTGTAAAAATGGAGTAAATATAGTCCTGTCAGCACCTGGGAGAACTTTTTCTTAATTTTTCTAATAGCATTTCCCATATTTTGCCTTGTATTATACTTTCATATACTTTTCTTAACCACCATCATTATATTTTATATTCTTTGAAGGCAGGGACTGCATCTTATCATCTTTATTTTCCCCAAACTTAGTACTTGGGCATGTTTGGGTACCCAATAAATAATTTTACTTATTGAAGTAACAATTAAGAGTGCTACAACTGTAGGACAATGAAATATCACTTGTACAAAAGTAGATTTTGTTGGGAACAGCTTGTTAAGTTTCTGAATTCTTATTAACCTAACAGGAAAGTTGGAGATGACACATTTGTTCTGTAGTGGACAACTTTAGGAGGATAAGCAGTGGTTTATGTTTTAGTCAATTTGAAAACCTAGAATGGAATAAAAGAGCTGCTTTAAAACTTGTTGAGAGGATGGTATTTTGAATTGTCTATACAAGTACATCATGCCCTAGATTTCTTGAACTCAGTTAACAGATCACTCTTTCATTTTGTAAATAATATTTTGTAATGATAGTGATAATAAGATCCTTTTTATATCCTAGGGGTTTTAATTATGGGTGATGTCTACCAATAGCCTTTGAATTTAGTCATAATCTTAAAAACATTTTGAATTGAAAACCCTTATTATATCTATAAGATGTTATCCTCTTAGAAAACTTGAAGTCTCTATGTTTGATCTCTTGATATTAGTGAACCTTAAAACAAGTTTTTTGTTTTTTTGGTAAATGTGTCCATGAAGCCTTAAAATGTTGAATTTTTTTTTATTAATTAAAAAAGTGTTTAGTATTTGATGAGTAACACTGCTGATAGTTTTATAAGGTACAGAAAAATAAAACATGGCTCCTATTCTTGAGGAATTTAAAGTCTAGTTGGAAAGATAAGCTAGTTTTCTTATGCAAATGTTTTTTATGGGCATTTATTAAATGTAAGAAGCTCTCACTGGGTATTCAGTTTATACTAATTTTTTTTTTTAAAGTTTACAAATAAAAATTGTGTATATTTATTATGTATAATATTATATGATGTCCTAAAATATATTTACAATGTGGAATGGCTAAATTGAGCTAATTGACATATTTATTACCTCACATACTTATAACTTTTTGTGATGTCTCATGGACTTAAAGTCCATTCTCAGTGATTTTCAAGAATGCAATACATTGTTATTAACTATAGTCACTTTGTTGTAAAGTAGATCTGTGGAACTTATTCCTCCTATCTAACTGAACTTTTTTCTCCTTTGACCAACATCTCCCCATCTCCCTCCCCACCCAGCCAGCCCCCAGTAACCGCTATTCTACTCTCGGCTTCTGTGAGTTCAATTTTTTTAGATTCCACATGTAAGTGAGATCATTTGGTATTTGTCTTTTTGTGCCTGGTTTATTTCACTTAATAAATGTCCTCTGGATTCATCTATGTTGTTGCAAATGATAGGATTTCTTTCTTTTTTATGGCCGAATAGTATTCTATTGTATATATATTTACCATATTTTCCTTATCCATTCATCCATTGATGGACAGTTAGGTTGATTCCATATCTTGGCTATTATGAATAGTGCTCCAGTGAACATGGGAGTGCAGATGTCTCTTTGACATACTGGTTTCATTTCCTTTGGATGTATACCCAGTAGTGGGATTGCTGGATCATATGATAGTTCTATTTTTAATTTTTTGAGGAACCTCCATGCTGTTTTCCCTAATGGCTGTACTAATTTATATTCCCATCAACAGTGTGGAAGCGTTCCTTTTTCTTTACATCCTCACCAACATTTGGTATTTTTTATCTCTTTGAGAACAGCCATTTAACAGGTGTAAGATGATATGTTGTGGTTTTAATTTGCATTTCCCTGATGACTAGTGAGTTTTTTTTTTTAAGTTCAAGGTCATCCTTTGCATACTTTTGGTCAAAATTTGTAGATTTTTAAGTGATAAGGTTGCTTATTTCTTTAGGCAACTTAGATGTTCATAATTTCCAAGAGAATAAAATTTTACTAAGACCAGTCTAGGATAAATTATAATGTAATACATTGTAGTATAATCATAATTCTAATTTAATCAACATAATGCAACCTATCTGTTTCCACATGTGTGTCTTAGAGTCCTCAAGCTTTTTGGAGCTACCCTTTTCTTAAATATCCATTAAAAATGTTTAGATTTTCCCTTTACCCATTAATAGGCACTAGATACTCCCATGCCCATTTTAGGCTTTCTCAAGGTTTGGCATACGCTAGTTACATTTAGGAAAAGAGGTTTGTTTTATGTTCATTCCTGAAGCCATCAATGTTGCAGGCAATTGTTTGCTGTTATGTGATTTCTAATTATTGCCTTAGTCTTGCCTATGGTTTCTCTGGTAGTACTACTGCTTCTTTCTTTATTCCCTAGAACACTACCCATAAAAAGATGTTGTATGTCACAGATTTTGGCAGAAGACAAAGGGAGATTATAGCATAGCAGAGAAGAGGCAAGGATTTAAAATTAGTATTATACATTATTACAGAGAATAGGGAACAACTTCAACATTAATGTGAGACATTGTAGCCTAAATTTCCTCTGCCGTTGACTCTACTTGGTGGTGTTCATCTTGGGGTTTGCTCATTCTGCTGAAGTAGGCAACACAGTGTAGTCATTGAGAATGTGGGTTCTGGAGTCTACACTGCGTGGATTCAAATATTGGCTGTATGATTTACTATCTCTGACACTTTAGGAATATTATTTAACTTCTTTGTGCTTCAGTTTCCTCATCTGTAAAATGGATGTAATAGTCCATATCCAATAGTATGTGTGTGAGGATTGAGAGAATACATACAAACTGCTTCAAAAAGCATTCAGTAAATATCTGTGAATATTGCCAAATGACACTTTGCTTCCAGGTCTTGTTCTTCTTTTGAGAGTCCTAGGGTCCCCAGAGCTCCTATCCCCTTCACCTGCCAAGGGAAACATCCTAAATCTTGTTAATTTAGCTAAATTTTTTTCCAGTTAGGCCAGATCTATCAAGATGCTTTCTTAAATAAGAGGACCTTTAACCCCAAGATGAAATAGGCACCATCTTACGGCAGATGCAGAATTGTAGTCATGTTTTGTTGTAAATGCATCATCTCCCCTTCTTTTTACATTAGACCCCTCACACATATAATTGGATTTGTTACGGAAGAGCTTTTTTTAAACTGACAAGTTAGTGCCTATTTACCCCCAGTCACCAAATTTGCTTTGATTTCCTTTTTCTTTTAGGAAAACTTGGTACCTTATGAGTCATTTGGATAAAAACGAAGGTTTTATATTTCTTAATTTTTTCATTTAGGTTACCCGTTGGTCTGTGACAGCCAGAGGAAAGAGTCTCCTCCCTCATTTCCAGAGAATAATAAAGAGGCCTCACAGCTGGAGCAAGAGCACGTCCATCAGGTTTATGAAGAGATTGCCAGGCACTTCAGCAGCACGAGACACAGCCCATGGCCATGCATCGTGGAGTTTCTGAAGGCTTTGCCAAGTGGTTCGATAGTGGCTGATATTGGGTGTGGGAATGGAAAGTATCTTGGCATCAATAAGGAGTTATATATGGCAAGTAATGTTGCTTCTGACTTTCTTTTCGCTTAATTTGCAGTGGTTATCGTCGTCTTTCTTTCTCATGATCTGATGCTGTTTTTTAAGTTGTTGCAGAAAAGTAATAAACAGATTGAAAATTAATGAACACCACCATTCCTTCTTATTCCTCTAGAAATTTATGCCATCATTATAGTCTTTCTCTCCCATTAGATTTTGCTTTCCAATATGATTATTTTATCAGTAAAACTATCTTGCGGTTATACAACTCTTTACAGATTAGAAAGATTTTTATAGGAACCATTTTCTTTGCTTGGATTGCCCTAAGTATGGGAAAGATAAAGCAGATATTTTCATCCATCTTTTATACATGAAGAAACTGGAGCTCACAGAGGTTAGTTATATCACTTCTCTGATGTCATATAATTTGGGGATATAACTGGAATTTGAGCCCATGCCTTCTGACTCCAAATTCTACTCATAGTAGAAAAAAAAAGTTTATTATTTATTGATGTCTTACAGTTGAGGAAACTAAGGCTCAAAAAGATTAAAAACTTGACCAATAGCGCTAGACTGAGGATTTGAAGCCATTTCTGTCTGACTCCAAAGTGTCTGTTTTTAGTTGCTATCATTTCTTTTTCTGTGAACCACTTTTTTTTCCTGCTGTGCTAGGAAGTAGAACATTCTTCCTGCTGTAGTACATTGTTGTAAATACTCATAGTGACACTGCTCTGTGAGGACTGGAGTTTCCCTTTCTCGAGATTAGAGGAGGAAGGGCTAGAGTAAGGGAGTAGATAAGGAGAATGAATACAGTCTACATTCCTGAGTTCTCGGAGTGTGTCAGGAGTGTGTCAATCCTTATTTTTACTCCATCCTAGAAATTATGCACCTACATGAAGAAAGCTACTGCAGTTGTCCCTTAGTATGTGAAATTGAAGTCAAATCAAATAATAAATATATCCTTAACGATCATAAAAGGTTTAGTGGAAAAGACAAAAATAAAACACCATTCTGCTAACAGATGACATTTTTGTCACCCCATGTGCACTACAGTGGCTGCTCTATTTTGGGCCATATACCTCAAATACCTCTAGTCACAATCACCTAAGACTGCTTAGGAAGCACCAAAAACGCATTGAAAAAACTACATTCATCCCTCAGTATCCATGGGGAATTGGTACGAGGATCCCTGTGGATACCAAAATCTGCAGATGCTGTAATCCTGATATAAAATTGCATAGTATTTGCATATAACCTTTGTATTAATGCATCTTCCTGCATATTTAAAATCACCTCGAGATTACTTATAATACTTAATACAATGTAATTGCTGTGTAAATAGTTGTTGTACTATATTGTTTAGGGAATAATGACAAGGAAAAAAGTCTGTGCATATTCAATAGACACATTTTTTATTTTTTAAAATATTTTTAACCATGATTGGTTAAATCCATGGATGTGGAACCTACAAATATGGAGGGCTGGCTATACTGCAATTGAGGAAGGGTAGAGTTTGTGCGTTAAAAGGCAGATAAAAGCATAGCTTTTCATGAAAATAAGACACTGTTATAATATATTGTTATAATGTTTACAATTAAGTTTTAGTTTATAAAGAATAAGGTCTAGTGAGTTAAGTTTGTTCATGTTAAAGAGGAAGGTTTTTGACGCGTCACTTAAAATCATAACTGTAATCACAGTTCAAAACAAGGTGATATCTTCTGGTGTTTCAATCTAAAGGTACTATCCAAATATGATTCTCAGTAGGCTGTGCTTATGCACTTTCTTGTTGATAATCTATGGTCCATGATTTTATCTAGTTGGGTATCATTTGTGACAGTGAAATTAGGTTGAAGTCAACCACACTGACTTAGTCATAATGATAACATTATTCTGCTACAAGTGAGGATAATTTCTTGATAAACAGAATACTGAACCAAAAATTTGAAGCTAATTCAAGAAGGAATATATTTGGAAGGATTGGAAAATCATAAGCATGCTCACTCTCTATTATCCACATTCATTTTATCAGCAGCAGTCTACACGTAGTCCTTCCTGCCTGCCGTTCCCTGGAGCCTACTGCATTGTCTGATGATAGGCTCATGAAGCGTTGGTTCAATGAATGAATGAAAACTACTTGTCTGGCTGGAGTTGAGGCTTTTATTATACCAGAAGATGGGATTATGTATGATAACAGGGACTCCTATCTCTTTTAAGCTGCTGAGGCTCTAACATGGATGGAGCAATGATATTTGAGTGTATTTTGAATAGCCGTTTTTGAGCATGAAAATATGTCCATTGCTTGACATTTATGAAATGAGGGGATGTGACCTGTGGCATTTATTCTAGGTATTCCAATGTAGAATAGGCTAAAAATCTAAAAAGTTCTTAATATCACTATTGCATATCATTTTATTAACAAAATGCATTTTCTATACTGGCTTGGGCTTTCATGGGAAGAGTTTGATAAATAGTTTTTGATTTCTGTAAGAAATGTATGTGATAAATCTGCTTTTATCATAGATCTGAGCCATGCCTGGGCTTGCTCATTTACTCTTTAATTCAAAATTTTTATTTTCTAGCTAGGGACCATTTCTTTTTTTATTTTTCAGTTACTCTTCATTTCTCTCATCACCTTTAGCTGTTGGCTTTATTTTCAGAGTTATAGGCAAAGATTTTATACCTTCAGGAGCCTCATTGCTTATACAATACCAAAAGTAGGTGAGATGTATCTACCCAGAGTATAGACTGGGTCATTCACTATGTGATTGTTTTGTGCGTTGATTTCAGAGCACATTTAGTTCAAATTTGTTTCCTAGATGTTGCTATAAGTAGTTGGTATTGCAAATATAACACTCAGTAATGCCAGGAATCTATAAGAATTGGAGATATGTTTATACAGGCCTATTCTGTACATCTCTGTATTTGTTTTGTTTTATTTTTAAACTATATTAACTTTCCCAGTAAAGGAAAGAGGAACAGAAAGGAAACCAACAATGTCAAGTACCTGCTGTGTGCCAAGTGTTGTACTATGTTTTCTCACATATGTAATCTATGAGATTGGCATTACTATCTCCATTTTACAGATGGGAAAACTGAGACTCAGTTAAATGACATGCCCACAATCACATAGTGTCAGGGCAAGTACTAGAATCTCATCTCTGACTCCAGAGTCCATACTCTATGACTGTGGCCCCCAACCCCTGGGCCGTGGACTAGTACCAGTCCATGGCCTGTTAGGAACTGGGCGCACAGCAGGAGGTGAACGGCGGGGAGAGAGTGAAGCTTCATTTGTATTTACAGCCGATCCCAATCCCTTGCATGACTGCCTGAGCCCCGCCTCCTGTCAGATCAGCAGTGGCATTAGTGTGCTCTCACAGGAGCACGAACCCTACTGTAAACTACATGCAAGGGACCTAGGTTGTACCTTCTTATGAGAATCTAATGCCTGATGATCTGAGGTGGAGCTGAGGTGGTGATGCTGGTGGTGGGGAGTGGCTGCAACTATAGATTATCATTAGCAGAGAGGTTTGACTGCACAATAAATGTAATGCACTTTGAGTCATTCCCTAAACCAGCACTCTCCCTTCCCCCTGTTCTATGGAAAAATTGTCTTCCATGAAACTGGTCCCTGGTACCAAAAAGGTTGAGGACTGCTGCTCTATGGTACTCTGATAAGAGAGATCTTATCTAGCTTGGTATCTTTTATTCCACTTTAGAAATTAAAGCAGCTTCAAGATGGATTGTAGAAGCTGCTTAATACCAATTACAAAGTGAGCAAACTCATTAAGTATGACTAGCATGGCAATGTGATTTAACTCAATAAGAATTGTTTTGATGTGAGTATTCATATTCTTTATTCTCGGAATGGCTGATGGAACCCTAGGATCAATGCTCATTATATCCAAAAATTAAATGAATAAATATAAGCTTGGAAGCCATTTCTGTTTGACTAAATCTGCTTATATAATTCGTTTCCCTATTATAGAGATTGGGTTAAGAAGAAATTATCTGGGTATAATTATTAACTAGCAATTTAATGTTTCTTAAGCCTTTCTCATTCCTTCCCTAATTTACATGGGCACGTTGCAATGTGTGCGTGCATGCGTGTGTGTGTGTGTGTGTGTGTGTGTGTGTTTATACACACATAGGTGATATTCTTAGAATAGCAAAACTATGTATAAAAACAACAAAACTAGAGAGAAGATGGGAAATCCCAACCTCCAAACATTTCCCACAGACCCAGACTTATGCATAAGGCACATTAGGCCTCACCTGCTTGAAGAGATGAAAGCACATTGCTAGCTCCCTCAGTGCTGTCATTCTCAGGATTGTTGGTTACACTAAAAGGTTTTATTAAATAGCATTTTACAAATTTTGAATTCAGCACTTTATTCTTGATCAACTTTGATGTTTAGCAGAAAAAGACTTAATAGTTTTAAAAAATGAAAAAAATTATTTTGTTTTTTGTTGTTTTGGGGTTTCATTTTATGATTGTTAAAGTAATACATGTTGGAAAGTATAAAGAAACAAAAAAAAAATCATCCTTCCTCCTGGTCTCTGGGTCATCACAATATAGTATATATAATAATGAGAGATAACTTAGGTCATCTTATTTGTAGCTTCCCCCCAAATACTAAATGTCTATGTTTATGGGATAATTTCCAGTTTTAAATGTGTGATATTACAGGAAGATCTAGATTCAGGATGGTGATCAATTAGGTGCAAACTTGGACCTCCTATTTCCACTGCTACCATTTTTATTTTAGTCATTTTGTTTCCATTCGCTAATTTGAGTTCTGTTTGTTATCTGTCAAGGTAATAAATGCTGCTCTGAATAATTATATATTCTGACTTTGTACTGCCTGTAAGCACTGATAACATCATGGTCTCAGACCGTTTCACAGTGAATATGAAATCTGTCTGATGAGTTTAAGGTAATGGAATAAGCTCATAGCTCTTAATTTTTTGTGACATTTAAACAAAATGTCATGAAATTCTTTATTTCTCTGTTGCAGATTGGTTGTGATCGTAGCCAAAACCTGGTGCACATTTGTAGAGAGAAGCAATTTCAGGCCTTTGTCTGTGATGCGCTGGCAGTACCAGTCTGCAGTGGGTCTTGTGATGCCTGTATCTCCATTGCTGTTATTCACCATTTTGCAACAGCAGTAAGCACTGTCTCTCCTTCTCTAAGAACTTGAAGCTAAAGTGGCAGGAAAAGTTTGTGGATTTTACTGATTTTGGACCCTGTTTTAGCTTTCATTTCTTTCCATTCTCTTGTCACACAATTTGCCCTCTCTGTAAGAGAGCATGCAGAATGAAGATGGGCTATGTGGGAGTCATGTTTACTTAAACAGGCCTGGTGGGATCCTGCTTTTATTGCTGCACGTTTTTGCATTTTTTCTACCCCAGGTCTCATTCACTTCTAAATGCCTTACTTTAAACTCACAGAGTCACAGAATTTTAGCTGGAAGAGACTGAGATCTTCAGCTCTAGGCCTTTTGAGTACTCTCCTCTGTTTCTCTTTCCCATCTTTCTTTCTCAACCCACACTCTCATCTCTCACATGTGAGTCTCACGTCCCTCCCATTCTGTTTTTCCTCTTTTCCTATTCTTTTTTCAAGACTGTTTTATTTAGCTGGTAGTAGTATGTTGACTTAATTAATTGATTATAAAATTATGGGGTACAAATGTAATTTTGTTACATGGATATATGATGTAGTGGTGAAGGTCAGGGCTTTTAGTGTATTGAACACCTGAATATCGTACATGGTACCCATTAAATGATTTCTCATTATCCGTCTTCCTCCCAACCCCCATCCTTCTGAGTCTCCATTGTCTATCATTCCATACATCCATGTGTGCACATTATTTAGCTTTCACCTATAAAGTGAGAACATGCGGTATTTGTCTTTCTATGTCTGAATTGTTTCACTTAAGATAATGGCTTTTATTTCCATCCAATAGCTGCAAAAGAAATGATTTCATTATTTTTTATGGCTGAATAGTATTCCATTGTGTGTATATACCAAATTTTCTTATCTAGTCATCCACCAATGAACACTTATGTTGATTCCATATCTTTGCTATTGTGAATAGCAATAAACATACGAGTCAGGTGTTTTTTATATAATGATTCATTTTCCTTTGGGTAGATACTCAGTAGTGGGATTGCTGGATCAAATGGTAGTTCTGTTTTTAGTTCCTTGAGAAATCTCCATACTGGTTTCCATAGAGGTTGTACTAATTTACATTCCCACCATCAGTGTATAAGTGTTTCTTTTTCTCTGCATCCTTGCCAACATCTGTTATTTTTTGTCTTTTTAGTAATGGCCATTCTGACTGGTGTAAGATGATATCTCATTGTGTTTTTTTGTTTTGTTTTTTTTTTTTTGGGGTCTGGTTTTGTTGTGTTGTGGAGGCTAGTGTAGTGGTGTGGTGTTATCTTAGTTTATTCTCACCTTCCTGTGCTTGGGTTGTGCTCTTGTCTTGGCTTCCCCTGTCGCTTGGCTTGTAGTCTTGTTGTGTGGTGCCGTGCTCCTTTTTTTTTTTTTTTTTTTGTTGGGGTTGTTGTTTTTGTTTTGGTTGGTTTGTTTTTTCTGTCCTTACGTTATGTTCTTTTCTTGCCTTGCCCTTCTATTATGTTTGGGTTAGTGGGGTGCGCTGCCTTGCCTGGTTTTGTTTTTGTTTTGTTTTTTTTTTCTGTTATTATTGTTGTGTTTTTTTTTTTTTGCTTTTTGTGTTTTTGTTTTTTTTGTTTTTTTTTTTTGTTTAGAGGTTTGTTTTGTTTGTGTTTTTGTTTTGTGTGTTTTTTTTTTGTTTTTTTTTGTGTCTGTTTATTTCTTTTGTTTGCTTTTTTTTTTGATTTATTTGTTTTTTTTTTTTATTTGGTTTCGTTGTTTGTTCTTTTTGTTTGTGCGTCGTCAGTTAGATAGTTTGCAAATATTTTCTTCCATACTGTAGGTTATCTGTTCATTGTGTTGATTGTTTCTTTTGCTGTGCAGAAGGCTTTTAGTTTCTTTAAGTCCCATTTGTCTTTTTTTTTGGTTGCATGTGCTTTTTAGGTCTCAGTCATGAATTGTTTGCGTAGACCAATGTCCAGAGGAGTTTTTCCTAGGTTGTCTTCTTGTAGACCTGTAGCCTTCTGATTTCAAGATTGTTCTTTTTTAAGCACCAAAGGAAGCAAGAAAAGCTTTATCTTCTCTGCTGCACCCTTTTAATAAAAGGATTTGCTTTGTAAAATTTGGATTCGGTCAAAAGGCTACACCTAAGGACCTAGAAGGCCACATGTGGCTTTAAGGCCGCAGGTTCACCACCCCTGAATGGTGAGAGATAGGCGTCCAGTTTCATCTGTCTGCATATGGCAGCCCAATTTTCCTAACATAATTTATTGAAGAGTGTCCTTTCCCCAGTGTATGTTCTCGTTGACTTTGTCAAAAGTCAGTTGGCTGTAAATATATGGCTTTATTTCTAACTTCTAGTTTGTCTGTTCTGTCCCATTGATCTATGTGTCTATTTTTATACCAGTGCCATGCTGTTTTGGTTACTATAGCCTTGTAGTATAATTCGAAGTCAGATAATGTGGTGCCTCTAGCTTTATTCTTTTTAAGATTGCTTTGGCTACTGGGGCTCTTTTTTGGTTCCATATGAATTGTAGGATTGTTTTCTCTAATTCTGTGGAGAATGATGTTGGTATTTTGATAGAGATTGCATTGAATCTGTAGATTGCTTTGAGCAGTATGGTCATTTTAACAATATTGATTCTTCTGATCCATGAGCATGGGATGTTATTCCATTTGTTTGTGTCATTTGTGATTTCTTTTTTTTTTTTTTTTTGAGACAGAGTCCCTCTCTGTTGCCCGGGCTAGAGTGCCGTGGCATCAGCCTAGCTCACAGCAACCTCAAACTCCTGGGCTCAAGCGATCCTCCTGCCTCAGCCTCCCGAGTAGCTGGGACTATAGGCACACACCACCATGCCCGGCTAATTTTTTCTGTATATTTTTAGTTGTCCAGCTAATTTCTTTTTAGTTTTAGTAGAGACAGGGTCTCACTCTTGCTCAGGCTGGTCTCGAACTCCTGAGCTCAAATTGTCCATCCACCTCGGCCTCCCATAGTGCTAGGATTACAGGGGTGAGCTACTGCACCCGGCCTATGATTTCTTTCATTAGCATTTTGTAGTTTTTCTTGTTGAGATCTTTCGCCTCCTTGGTTAAATAGATTCCTAGGTATTTTTTTGTAGCTATTATAGATGTGATTACCTTCTTGATTTGGCTCTCAGCTAGATTGTTATTGGTGTATAGAAATGCTACTGATTTTCATACATTGATTTTGTATCCTGAAACTTTACTTTACTTTTGAATTCATTTATCAAACGTAAGAGTTTTTTGGTGGAATCTTTAGGGTTTTCTAGATAAAAGATCATATCATCAGCGATCAGGGATAATTTAACTGCCTCTTTTCCAATTTGGATGTTTTTTATTTCTTTGTCTTGCCTGATTGCTCTGGCTAGGACTTGCAGTACTATGTTGAATAGGAGTGATGAAAGTGAGCATCCTTAGGGAATGCTTTCAACTTTTCCCCTTTTAGTGTGATGTTGGCAGTTTGTTTCTCATATATGGCCTTTATGATTTTGAGATATGTTCCTTCCATGCCTAGTTTTTTGAAGATTGTATCATAAAGGGATGCTGAATTTTATTGAATGCTTTTTCTGTGTCTATTGAGATAATCATATAGTTTTTGTCCTTAATTTTGTTTATGTGATATGTTACAATTATTCATTAGCATATGTTGAACCATACTTGCATCCCTAGTATAAAACCCACTTGATCATGGTGTATTATCTTTTTGATGTGCTGTTGGATTCAGTTTGCTAATATTTTGTTGAGGATTTTTGCATCTATTTTCATCAGGGATATTTTTTCTGTAGTTTTCTTTTTTTGTTGTGTCCTTGTTTGGTTTTGGTATGAGGATGATATTGGCCTCATATAATGAGTTAGGAAGAATTTTCTCCTCCTTGATTTTTTTTGCAATAGTTTCAGGAGGATTGGTGTTAGTTCTTTGTACATTTGGTAGAATTGCTGACTTCTTAAATATGTTCTTAATTCAAAAATAACTGAATTTAATATTTTATATTTTCTTTAAAGGAAAAGAAAACCACTTATTTTTCTTGGGTATCAATGGTTTCTCCCCTGATCTAAGCACTAACTTTATAGCTCACCTCGTGGGTCACCTGCAGTTTTAGTAAACCTTAGACCTTAACTGAGTTCAAAACAAATCAGAAAACTATGTTATTTGTTTCTTTAATTACCAGCTCTTTACTTTTAATAGTAATCAAGAGATTTTCTGCTGGGCTGCAGCAAACGGTATAAGGGGAAACTCTTTACAGCAAAAACCACCAAGCGTCAGTATACTTAGAAGCTTTATTGCAAACAGAGAAAGACTTGCAAGCAGCCCCTCTACCAGTAAATTTTAAAATCCCCTTCATTTGGAAGAAATGATTGGCACATATATGTTCCTTCAACTACAACTCAGTGGCACATTCTTGTGCTACTGTCTTATTCCCTAACACCTTTGCCTCTACTATTTTACGTTCTTTTTACCTTCGTGATCTTTAGCAAATATTTTTAGTGGTCTCTGGATGTGTAGGTTCCTCATCTGTAAAATGAAGATGACTATCGGGATAAATTAGACAATATATAAAATGTTTATCGTTGTGTCTTGCACATAGTAAGAGCTCAGTAAATGTTAGTTATTACTTTAAGAATTATTTTAACACTTTTTATAAAATGGTGTCTTCTTATATTTTTAACTTAACTTTCTCAACTCCTTACACTCAACTTGCAAAAATCCTCACAAAGTTTCCTCTCCTTAATTTACTTCTCCATAGATCACTCATGCTGAAGATGCTCCCTCCTATTTTAACACATGATCTGAGATTATTTCTTGGGCTTTTTGACCATGTTGAATAGGTTACTTAGGTATACAATGTGGTGTATGTTACTTTGATGGTTAAAGAAGGCATTATCTGAGGCTAACAGAGCTATGGAATTGGAGAGATTAATTATTTTTCATCAGATATGCATATGTATGTATGTATAACATTTCAAATTTTAGTTCTCTTTGACTGCTAGCCTTATATCCTTAATGTAGTTTATTATATTTTTTTTCCTCTGTTAGCTTGCTGGTTAGATATTCTTTTGATATTTTTAATGGATATCCTAGACATTACAACATGTATTCTTAGCATTATAATCTACCTTAAATTAGTATGTTTATTACTTCCTGATAATGTAAGACTATCATTAATGACATTTAGCCCTTTTATTGTATTATTGTTATATAATGTTTTAAGCTCTCAATATTCATTTATATTTTCTCAAATTACTTACTTTTTCTGGTGTTCTTCCTTTTTCTTGCATTTTTAAAGTTTCAGAGGAACTAGGTTTCTTTTCCTTGAAGAATACTTTTTCCTGTTTTCTTTTGTGTAGGTATACTGGTGACAAATTCTCAGTTTTTGTGCATCTGAAATCTTTTTATTTGCCTTCATTTAAAAAAAGATACTTTTACTAGGTATTGAATTCTAGATTGACATTGTTTTCTGTATTTTCTGTCCTTTTTCATCTCTATGCTTTAATCTGGGTAATTTATACTGATCTGAATTCTATATTAATAATTGTGCAGATGTATCTAATTTGCTATTAAATTCATCTATTGTTATTTCTGTTCTAGAATTCTGTATGGCTTCTTAATATATTTTGTGTCTTTACTGAAATTCTCTCTTTTCCTCTAGTTTTTTGAACATACTAACCATGGTTATTTTAAAGTCTTTGGGGTTTTATTTCTATTGTCCATTTTTTTCCCTCTGTTTTTCAGTCATTTGGCCATGATTATGTTTAGCATGCCTCATAATTTTTGATTAGATGCTGGGCATTTTGTATTAAAAGATTTGGAAACTTTTATCTTCCTCGAAAGAGGGTTAAATTTTCTAACAGCAAGCGGGTAAAATATAAGCACATCACTTTAATTCTGTAGAGAAACGGTTTTATGGTTTATTAGGGCTGATTCATATCTATTTTATTTTTGTCCCTACTGCTGGGTTGTGGCCCTTCTGGGTTTCAAGTGAAAGCCAGGGGGGGTATATTCCAAATCCCTTACACTAACTGGGCTGATCTTAAATTCCAGTTTCTGTCTCTCCAGCATTGTTTGACTACTAAAATCTCTGTTTAGCTTTTTAACTTCCCAGCTGCAACTCTGCTGAGTTTCTTAAATTTCACCTTGTGTACGTGCAGCTTAGGAACTGGCAAATGCCTTGAGGGGAGTTTACATATAGATTTTTTGAATCGCTTTCATGAAGTTCCTCCTTTATCCATGATTCTATCCCCCAATTCCCAGCTGCTTTGACTTCCTTGTACTTTGAGCTCTATTTCCTCAGGCCGATGAGACTTCTGCTTTCTAATCATACTCTATTCTCCCGTGTTGCAAATTAGCAAATAATCTCAGGGAAAAGCTGGAGCGAATATAGAGCTTGTCTTGGTTTAATTCCCTTCTGTCAGGAATGATAGCCCTTCAAGTCCTGCCTGATGTGTTTCCTTCCATTGCCTTTAAGCAGCCGTTTTATGTCTTTCATCCAGACTTTATGGTTGCTTTTAGCAGGAGAATTAATACAAACTACTTCATCGAGGCTATAAATAGAAATCTCCATAATATAGTTTACACAGTTCTTTTGTACAAGCACTATATAAATGTAATGATTAATCTACAAGTGCTTCATATTACTGCTGATAGCCCTATAAGAAGACGTCATTGTTTCATGTATCCCAGCTAGTCAGTTAAGGAAAAAAATCACAGGGAAGATTAACAGAAATAAAAATTTCTTTTTCTCTACTTCCTCAACATTTTTTTTCTTAAATCACAGAACAAAATGCCCCTTCCCTCTTTTTCTTTTTTGTTTTATGTAAGACATTGTGTTAGATTTTCTTATTGTTCATCCTAATTGAAAACAGTCCTACAGTCCATTGTATTTTCCCATTTCTTCTCTATATCTCCTTTGGTTGACAAATGGCAATATGTTTTTTTTTTTTTAAATTAGGAACGTAGGGTGGCAGCTCTCCAAGAACTTGTTCGGCTCCTGAGACCTGGTGGGAAGGCACTCATTTATGTCTGGGCAATGGAACAAGAATATAATAAGCAGAAGTCCAAATATCTTAGAAGAAACAGAATTAGCCAAGAAAAGAAAGAGGAGGTAAACAGTGATGCCTCAGTGCAAGGGTTGCTTGTGGAGCAAATGCCTGACATGGACAATCAAGACTCAGCATCTTCTGTGTCCTCCATTAATGACTTCCAGGAAGGAGGATGTGATTCAAGGAAAGTTATGAATTCCAAGCTGCCTATTCATACTAACAGGACTGCTTTTCATTCTCAAGATGTACTGGTTCCCTGGCACCTTAGGGGAAACCCTGATAAAGACAAACTTGTTGAGCCATTTGGTTTAGCAGGATCCCATGACCCAAGTCCAGTGTTTCATCGTTACTACCATGTGTTCCGCGAGGGAGAATTGGAAGCTGCCTGCCAGACTTTGAGTAATGTCAGCATTCTGCAAAGCTACTATGATCAAGGAAATTGGTGTGTGATTCTTCAAAAGATCTGATTATTTATATAAACGTATCATACATAAAGAAGAAATGTTCAGCTTTTTTTTTTTTTAAAAAAGGAGACAAAATTAATTATCCTTGTAATTGAAGAGAAAACTTGTGGGAAAGAACCAAAGGAGCACTCCTGAGAAAAATTTGGAAGTAGAGATTTGTTAGGAAACATTCAATCTGCTACTGTCAACTGACCTCAGAAGTGTTGGCTCCTCCTCCATTCCTACTAGGGATGGTTTCTTTTTCTTTTTTAAAAAATGTTCTTAGAGACAGAGTCTCACTATGTTGGCCAGGCTAGTCTCAAAATCCTGGCCTCAAGTGATCCTTAGGGATGGTTTCTAAAAGTGATTGAAGTAGTTTGTGCGATGTTTGTGATACTTGGATTAGAGTACTACATTTGAAGATAACTTTTTGTTATAAAATGTTACTAAATGTAATAAATCTTGCAGGATCTTAGTAAAGTAATTATACAACAGTTTAATAAAGAAAATATCCTGGTCAATATAAAATTGTCTGAAGTTTTATCTATGACTGTTAGCTCTATAAAATCATAGATAACAAGAAGTCTGTTGCCATACCTTACTAGCACAGGGCTTGACATATAATGGGTGCTCGAAAATTTTAGTTACTCTGATAATACCCATAAAGTAGTAGGAGCTTCATTCAACAAATACTTTTTGAACCACTACCATGTACTAGTTACTATTTTAAGTCCTAGGAGTGGAGCAGTGAACAAGAAAGAACAAAGCCCTTGCCCTCGTGCAGCTTAGATTCTATTAATAAAAGGGGAGAAAGACAATAAGCAAATAAGTAAATGCATATCATGTGCTAGCTAGTGATAAATACTATGAAAAAAATAAAACAGGAGGGGAGATTTTAGCTGGGAGCAAAAGATTATTTTTAAATGGCTGAAATAATTACTAGTCCTGACTGTAATTTATTACCAAGAATTAATTGGTATTCCTAATTTGTTGAGGTGCTAAAGAACCCAAATATACTCCTTCAACTCTTTTATTTAAATAGCAAAAGTTAGAATGCAGTCAGTCAGACTCAACTCCAGATTTGTTCTTTTTGCTTAAGATTGCTTTGGCTATTCGGGCTCTTTTCTGATTTTAAACGAAGCATAGAATTAATTTTTCTAGATCTATGAAGTATGTTGTTGGTAATTTGATGGGAATTGCATTGAATTTGTAAATCACTGGGGACTGTTCCACCAGTTTGGGGGACTGCTGATTCCCAGTGGTGCAGGCCGGAGCTGCTGGTCAGCCAAGGTTCTCCCCCGACACCTACGGCCCACTGAGGCATTCGCCCCAGGATTCCCAAGTGGTGCCTTGGCGTCTGGGCCTCCTTCTCTGTTTAGCTCCCATGCCTGGTAGGAGGCATGCTCAGCCCCTAGTCATAGGGCTCCACACCGGGAGCGTCTCTTCCCTCCCCAGTCTGGTGGGGGTGATGCTAAGGTTACTGATAGAAGGCTGGGTCCCAGATCAGGATGGTGTCAGTTGCAGAAACTTCCGATTGGCAGGCACCAGATCTCTGCTGCTCCTGCTCTCTGCTGGAATGTCTCTGCACAGACTCTGAGCAGCTCTCCGATCATCCCAGAGGTCTGCAGTGGAAGAGGGAGACCCCTCACAGGTTGAGCTGTTTGTAACTTTTGTTTCTCTCCTAAAATGCAGTGTCCCCTTGGGTTCCCTCTATCCTGCTGTCTTCACCTCTTCCCAGCAATGCGAATTGTATTGGGACCCCCAGCTTAATCTCCGAGATAGTGGGTGATGCTTGTAAGAATAAGCCATGCCCTGTTTGATTGAGTTGGTAGATGGTATAATGAGCTATAGTGTTATTCTCCTTGTCAGTGGTTGATGCTTGTAGGAAAGAGCCAACTGTAGAGATGTTCTTTTGTGCCTGTAATAAGCTCTAGTCTCTGAGTAGAAGTGGTTGAATGCCCCAGGCTTTGAGAGGGGGCCTGTAGCTCCCAGGGGGTTGCTTGTTCACCACAGCAGAGGTGGGTGGGAGAGCGAGGCTGGGTATGGTTAGATTGGGGGAGCCTGGAAGGCTTTGCGAAGCCTCGGCAGGGCTCGAAGCAAAAGCTGCTGGGAGGAGGGTCAAGGCAGGCTCTCCAAACCAGGACAGCTGCTTGTGAGGAAGAGGTAGCAATTCCAGTTCTCCGACTGGCTATCGGAAGTGAGCTTCGCCCCTCTTGTGTTACCCCTGCTCTCTGGTGTCCGATTGCAAACACGGTCCTGAAAACACTGCATTGGCTTGCTATGGTGCCGTGGGCTGGGATCTTCCCCGCTGGAGAACTCACCCTAGTTTGACAGCTTGGCTTTCCTTTGTGGGGGGAGCTGGGTGCTCCCCCAGATCACCACATTTCAGACCCCCACGGTATTCTCCCATCAGTTCTGCCCTCATGGGATCCCTTGCCTCCCGAGTCTAGCTCCCAAATCTCCCCGTGTCCCCTAGCAACCCACTTGAGTCCTGGGCACTGGATCTGGCCCGCATGTCTGACCCGCTGACATGCGTCTCCGGGAAATGTCAGCAGGCAGGGAGCTCCCAGTTCAGGCACTCTGGGTCCACTGTGGGTCCTCAAGGGGAAAGGTGTGGGCTCCACTCTCTGTGGAAATCTCAGACTAGAGGACGCGCCAGCTGGGGAGAGGCAGCCACTTGCCAAATTCTCTGCTCAAACTGTTCCCCCAGTTGCAGTGGGCAGGGGATGGTAAGAGTCTGACTGGAAGATAGCCAGCTGTCTGGCCTATTGGTCACTCTCCTTGGAGGGGAAGCCCACATGGAATGTCCAAGCTCTGGGATCATGCAAGTTCTCTCCCACAGTTGAGTGGTTGCCTTGGTGCTTGGGCTTGTGGGGGTGGAAAAGCTTCGGAGTAACTTGGTAGCCCACTGGTCACCAAAGGAGTAGGGGAAGGAGAAAGGGTTCCCCCCTTACCCTTTCACTGGGCTCTCAGCCTCTCTGGGTTTGATCCTCGCCAATATCTTTTTTTCCTTTTTCCTCTTTTTTCTCTGCTTTGCAGTTTTCCTCCATTAGGTCCCTGGAAGGCCTTGGTACTTATTCCTCTTACCTACACCTGAGCTGTGTCCTTTCTCCCCAGTGCTTTATCTGAAACCCTTCCTTCCCTCCAGGATGGTCCGGTAAGTGATGTCTCTAGTTAGCCATCTTGCCTCTCCCTCCAATTCAGTTTCTTGGAAATTTTTAATAGTCTATAGAAGGACTATGTAGAAAGTGAGGATATAGCAGACTTGTACAGTGCAATCAACCAACTTAACTTTATTGACATTTATAGAATGTTTCAGCCAACAACAGCATAATACACATTCTTATAAGTGCACAAGGAACATTTACTGAGAAAGACCATATTCTGGGTCATAAAACAAGACTCAAATTTAAAAGGATTCAAATCATACAAAATATGTTCTCTGACCACAATGGAATTAAATTAGAAATTAATAACAAAAAGATCTCTGGAAAAATCCTCAAATATTTTGAATCTAAATAATCCATGGGTTAAGGAATAACTCAAAAGAGAAATTAGAAAGTATTTTGAACAGTATGAGAATGAAAGCACAACGTATCAAAATTTTCAGGATGCTGCTTGTGCAGAAAAGATTAACCACAGCAGGCCTGCGGCAGCTATCCTCAGAAAGGCCTACTAGCAAGGCTGGCCTTTGGCTGGCATCTGAGAACTTGGATTTCAAGAGAACTCCCACCAACCTCACTGATCAGAGTGGTTCACTGTACCTAAACTGCTTGTGCAAACAGTGGTTTATGCTGAACACCTGCTTTCCTTCTGGAAATCTGGAATTTGTGTATGTGCCAGGCAGAGGGTGCTGACATGGCCAGTTCCCAGTAAAAACTGTGGGTACTGAGTCTCTAACTAGCTTCCCTGATTGGCAACGTTTTACACTTTTGTCATAACTTCTTACTGGGCTTATTAAGTTTGTCATGTATGACTCCACTGGGAGAAGACTCTTGGAAGTTTGCGCCTTGTTTCCTCCAGACATTGCCTTATGTCCCTTTGCTATCCTTTCACTGCAAGAAATCATAGCCAGGAGAATGAATATATGCTGAGTCCTGTGGGTCCTCCTAGTGAATAACTGAACCCGGGAGTGGTCTTGGGGAGTCCCAACACACTGCTAAGGTTGTACATGGGGCTAACAGCACTAAATAGCACTTAATAGCACTAAATGCCTATATTAGAAAAGAAGAAAGTTCCCAAATCCAAGCGCCTCAACTTCCTTCTAAAGGAACTAGAAAAAGAAAAGCAAATGTATAGTAAGCAGAAGAAAGGAAACAAAAATTGGAACAGAAATCAATGAAATAGAAAACAAAAACAATAGAGAAAATCACTGAAAGTGAAAGCATGCTCTTGGAGAAGGCTAATGAAATTGATAAACTTCTAGCCACACTGAGTTGACCAGGGAGAGAATTTTATAATTTTTATAATTGCTAAATTTAATCAATAAAACATAATTAAGATAGATTCACATGTACCCACTTTTCAAAACTATCACTTGGTTGAAAAAGGTTTATTATTCAACTAACAATTTTTTTTTCCAAAAATAATTGCAGTAGGATTATTGCAAATGACCACTCAATTTAAGTATAAAGTTTTCTGTAATACACCTTATTGAGGAAAATAAAACGCTGTCTATATATTAAAGAAATATGATTGTTTATATATTAAAGAAATATGATCTTAGTTGGTTCCTAAATATAAGTTTGAATATTGTGATTGAGAATTTGAGATTCTAGGTAAAGCAGGTAAGTCATGTTGACCATAAGGATAAAAATTCTTAAAATGTGTTATTTATTCTTTATGCTAATTTGAATATTTCTCTATTCCCTGACATTTTAAAAAGAAAATTAAGAGAAACACTTTCCTCATATCATTCCCCTCATTGCTTTTCTGCTTTGGAATAGCAACCTCAGCTGTCAGCCGGGAGTTTACTGAGCAGTAAGTCCGTCGATCTTGCCAGGGCATTAAAGCAACTTACTGAACGTTTTCCACTCACGGAAGTGGGCGGAGAACACGTTACTTC